GGACAGTTTCCCTCTCCACCTTACGGGTAATATATTGTTCCCAGCAACAGCCTGGAATTGTAAATAAAAATAGTCAAGCCATACTACAAATGTTAGACATAATAGGCCTGGTTAGACATGGTTACTGAGAGTTATCGTATTCAGTAAATCTAGAACACTTTAGCCTAGATAACTATACAACCCGTCCTCCTAAGGTTCCCCAACGTCAAGAAACTGTCGTAATAAAGTGCCCTTATCCTAACCTACCAGAGGACCCGAAACAGAAAACGGGAAAATATATCAATTTCGAGACGCCATTATTTTCAAGTACGACAGTTTTGGCCTTGAGTAACGTTTACGTCAAAATGCAACGTTCTATTAGGACGAGTTTCAGTACAACCATTCAAACTGGAAATGGCAAGCCACTGATGACTTTAAAGCACTCGTACTCTGTAGGGTGGACGAAATTGTTGAACTGAGTATGCAAAAATTGCCTTAATCCTGTCCCCCGACAAAACGAATTTAATTGGAAAAACCATCCAGGTGAACCCAGGTCGCTCTTGACCTAAAGGGCATAATCCCTCGTATATATATTAGAACACCAGCACAGTGCAGTGTACACATGCTTATTAATAAAACAATAAAGCTTCAAATTTCCTGCCAGTAGCCTCCTCAACCTGTTGTATATATCTGAGGGGGTTGAACAGCAGTGGAATAATTCATTTCACTTAATAGACTCCACGGACTTGTGATTCTCGCCATATTAATGTGGTATAGCATGAATAATTCTGATCAGGCTCGGAAATGGGTTTGTATTTGATTTATAGAGAGATTAACTCCGTTTACCATCATCAGGGATGCCTGTGACAACAGCCAAGGGTCACACTTGCGCATCTCGCTAGCCATTATCCTGCTCTCCAACACGTATGATAATTTAAAAAAATATTCTAGTACATTTTATGCTATGATTTTTAGCGGGTTTAATATCAAAGCAGCTAGATATTATAATACTTTCCCCCTCGCGGATGGCTATTTAGAGGTAAAGTTATGCTCTTTTTATGGATGATGCCAGCCATATTTTTACCCTTTTTTCAAAATAATAGCGAGCAAGAAAGTCTGCTGCAGAAGGAGAGAATAAATTATTCGGCAATTTCCTGCGTCTGTTTCCAGTGAGGAGATTTGTCAGTTAAGATTAAGTACGACCTTTACTTGTGCTACCTGCCTGAGGTCGTAAAATGCCAGCCTGTTCTTCATGCTGTTGTTTGTGGTCGAGAACTACCAGGATGTTCTTCATGCTGTTGTTTGTGGTCGAGAACTAACAGGATGTTCTTCATGCTGTTGTTTGTGGTCGAGAACTAACAGGATTTTCAGTGTTTCTTATGTAGTTATTGAATCCTTCTCTGCCCTTGATAACCATCTCTTATACACTCCAGTCTGTTGAGTAGCTCAAGCCCTTCTTTCTCCTTACTATATACTCCTTACTATATTGCCGCCCTCGAGGCACAGTGGTAAAACACTCGCCCGGCGCTTCGTGAGCGATTTGGACTGGGCTCTTATCCTAGCCGGGAAGGATTGACTAGGCGCCAATCCTTAAATGTACGCCTCTGTTCATTCAGAAGTGAATGGTTACCTGGTTGTTAAACAATTTGGTGGGTAGTATTACAGGGAAAATTGAGATTAAGGGCCTGCCTGAAACGCTAGGCGTGCTAGTGGCTTCTATATATATATATATATATATATATATATATATATATATATATATATAAGAATGTAAGCACCCCTGCCCCATAGCACCCATGGTTTATTCCCAGTAACAGAAGACCAACAATCCTGCCAACGGGTCAGGATGAAGGGATGACTAACTGGGTAAATGTCGGAATAAGGAATACCTTTTCGGGAGATGGGACAAGTGCGGATAGCTTCCTTAGCAGCAGCATCTGCACGCTCATTTAAGAGACCAATATGGCTAGGAATCCAGTAAAACCCGACTGCCCTCGTGTTGTTCTACTGAAGATAAGAAACTATAAGAAACTAGATAAGTTTCTTATCTACTGGAGATAAGAAACATGTTGAATCTCGACTACCATCGGATGGACTGGATTAAAGGACTCTAGAGCCATAAGGGCACTGCGAAAGTCAACTACAACGACAAAGGAGGACTGACAGCGAGAAAACAGTTGATGAAGAACATAGAATAGAAAAAAGTTCTGCCGTAAAGATGTTAGTCTCCGGAGGCAGGCGACACATATAGATGTGGTCAGGAAAAACAAGAGTAGCCTACACCATCTGCAGACTTAGACCCATCAGTGAAGACGGAAATGGAGCTGGAGTGTGAAGTAGTGTTCAAGGAAAAGGCGTTTCAGAACTATATGAGGGGTAAAAGCACTATAAAAGGGGTAAAACTGTAAAAGGGGTAAAAGAATGTGTCAGGACAGTCACGTGGTGAATGTCCTGACTTCCAGGACGAGCGTTTGTCTTGCTTTCCGACCATCCCTCGCAGTCAATTGGCCCTCGCTAGCATTCTTGGTGAATCGGATACTTTTGATATCGTTCGCTTTATGCGTTTCTATTCTCATATTGGCATCCTTAAGTGTTATTTAGCGCCCTATTATTATTCTGCACATTTGATGGTGTTACATAGCCTTCCCGGTTTGGTGCTTTCTTTTGCTAATTACTTTAGTCACGTGGGTCAGGGTTTTATCAAATTTAGGAAGAGGGACCCTCCACGGGGATAAGGACGGAACAACACGAGGAGAAATATTGGTAACACTAACCGAAAGAGAATTTTACCTATGTTGCGGTGCATGGGGCGCCATTCGAGTTCCCAGATGATCTACTGAGTCGGAATTATTCCAGGTTTGGGAGAGTGCCGAGTATCAGTCAGAATGTCATTTCCTCGGGCCAGTTGACTGGTGTGCCTAGTAGGGCCCATACGTAGGCCATGCGCCTCTCGACCCGTACCGTCATCGGTTATGTTGCTAGGATTTTCAGTCTGTGTTCTACGCGGCCAACCCCGAACTTGTTTCCGGTGCAGGCTGACGGGCCACCAGGCTGATTGTGATGCGCGAAGAGTTCGCCCAATGAACCTCTTCAGGGAGGAGGATTTTTCCCCATTAGCAGCTCCGGACCTATCTCCATGTGTAGTTGTGAGTGATGGTTCTCGGCTGTCTGGTGACCCTGTGGTGGTGCCGGTTTCTGCAGCCCATCTGGATGAGGGTGTGGGTGTTGAGGTAGTGGGTCTGTGCACCCTGCCCCCGCCACCGGCTCACCCGCACCTGCCTGCCCCATCTACAGTTGAGGTGTCTTCCGTGTGTGTGTATCTGTGGATGTGCACACGGAGCGGTTTCCTGTGGTGTGTGGTCTTGTGCCCCCAGTCGTCAAGGCTGCGGTAGTGCGGGATCATGTTATGTATGGTGTTGAGAGTCCACCCAGGGGATCTACTGTAGTGCCTCCTGGGAGATGTGATAGTTCTGATGACCAACGCCCTGTCTCCAAGCGTTCGAGGCGCGCTCAGTGTCCCCCTTCCCTCGTGGAGTGGCCTGGGCTGACGTGCAGGACTATGGGGACTCCGAGAGTTCTTCTGTGGATTGTGGATTTCTGTGGATTCTTTTTCTTGGGCGTGGTTGAAAAGACCCCGTCTCTCAGGTGGGGTTCCAACCCGTTTCCAGATCCAAAACGGGGCTTTGTGGATCCGAGGTTCAGTCTGGACTTGTCCCGTCTGAACCCCTGGGTCTTTTGCCTTTCGTTGCAGATGACCACTCTGTACCAAGTCCGGCTTCTTTTTTAGCCGGATGCTTGAATGGTGTGTCTATACCTCCGGGACGCGTATTGGCACGTCCGGATGCATCTGGAGTTCAAGGACTGGCTTGGTTTTGTCGTGGGGCGTCAAGCTTACCGCTTTCATTGCCTTCCATTCGGCTTGAATCTGGCACGTCTTACCTGGGTTGTGGTGACCCACCTGCGTCTTCAGGTTCTGACCTACTTCAACAAGCTGGTGTGGGCTCCTAGTCGGTCCACGTGTCTGCTCGTCATGGGGTTTGGTTCGTTTCCAGCTGCTCAGATAGCGGCGCAGTTGTAACATCATGCTTGCTTGCTTGTTTTCAGATTGTGGAATTCTGCTTGATAGTTTGGTTTTCGGTAGCCATTTTAACCAGATGGAGTTTGTTTTGGGATGCCTACATTTCTGGGTACCAAACCCAGTAGATGGCAGAAATAGAATGCTTCCTACCACATGGTGGTTTCTATAGGCCATTGCTCCTCTTGCCTCTCTGCGGCACGATCCGGAACCTGGCTCGTGGTCCCCGGTAGGCTAGAACTCCAATTGAATTGACTGATGCCACGATCTAATGTATACATATCAGCCCAGTATAGATCTGGGGAGCCTCCGGGACTCGAGCAGAAAACGGCATTTCATTACATTCAACGCTGAGTTTTTATAGCTTTGTTTCGATTGCATTTCTTCAGTCTGGTATGATCACTCTGGCTAGGCTGCTTATTGACCACCTGGGTTTAACACTTTGGCATGCCCAGCAGGGCACCCAAATCACACCGGAAGGTAGGCCGAGCTTTCCCAGTGAGCACACAACCCAATGTTAAACTCTCACTCACAATGTTTATATTCAACAATAAGACTAAGCAAAAATTAATGCATGACGCCGTCTGTGTCATCACCCACTGTACGTGTTTCAGTTTTATGATGCAGATTGTGTCATCAGGAATTGCCCCACGATAAACTCCTTGGCAAATCCGGTGCCTTTGACATTGCTTATATTTTCCTTTCACCTTTTTGACATTCTGAGTGTTATTTAGGACTTTTTGACTGATCCACAACATGGATGGTACTAAATAATCTTCCAAGCTTGATGCCTTCTTTAGGTAATTAAATACAGGTGTTTAACACACCAGAAATAAAGTGCAATGGAAAATACACATTTACTGAACATTATGAACATAGTACAGTAGTAGTCTAAAGACTCACTAGTATAGTAAAAATTTGGTATCTTGGTTAATAATGCCCCACCATAGTAGTCATTTTATTTTTTGCAAAGCCCCTGCATTAGTTAACCTCACAATCAAGAAGTTTGATTTTTACAGTGTTTTTTTTACAACAAAAATACATGTAATAAACTACAGAAAATGCTTTGAGGCATTATAGGAAAAAATATTTAGAAAAGTAACAATTTTATTGTTCTCCAGTTAAGAACAATTAAATAAGTCACAATATCAGATTTGTTCATAAAAACCTATGGTAATTTTTAAACTTTGTCTACTTATCAAATCATCAAAAACAAACTCCACTATCTGACCAATGCCTCATACAGTGGCACAATAGCATAGCCGGCAGTTTGCACTTGCAAGGAAAGTCTGATATTGCAAAATTTCCTTAAGTTTTCCCTTATCTTTCTTGTACTACAAACATCTGGCTTAACCTAATGACCAGGACACCACTACTTACAAAACTTCATTGGTGTATAATTTACCCTTTTTTACACAAAAAAATTTATCTGCATTTTTGCAAATACAGTATGTAGCCAAGAAACAAAGAATGAGTCATTCTACGGTACATTTCTTTCTAAGCTTGACGCCTTCTTTTGATAATTACTTATTTACTCTCTACTAGAAAGAATTCATAAACTGGAGATTTTGAAAATGTATAAGATCAATACTAATAGGTCAACTTAGTTACACAAATATAATGTTTTAAATACTGTTGATGGAATTTTGAAGTCTATTACACATTAAAAGAGAAACATGTTAAAAAAAAAAAAAAACTATTTACAACATGCTTCCTTTTTGAGCACAGACTAGTTAAAAAAAAGACATTGCTACAGGAGATGTAATTAAGCCCAACAAAACATTCAAGATCTTTTCTGGTATTAAAGAGTGGCTTCATTACTGCAACTGTAATATCTACAAAATAACTACAAATAATATTGGAAACAAACAGAAAAGAGGAACGTATAATAATTACTCTATGCTATCTTATTCTACCTAAACAGTCGCCATGAATAAGTGATGAACTTGAGTACTCTCCTGTAAATAGTTTTAGGCTCAATCTGTTATTTTGGACACATTTTACTTCCCTTAAATCTATCTCACTCTCTTGAGCACTCTAGAAAAATACTGGGCTAGAAGGCTTGTATAATGTACTACAATCCATGTATTAAGCGGACTACTTTCATACGAAAATCCATATTTAGATTTCTCTATTTGTATGACCAGGAATTAATTCCTCAAACAGCTACAAAAAAATTTGTTTAACATAATTACAGTTTATTCCAGCATTTTTCTATAAATATAAAAAATATAATCATTTAATTCATATCCTAACATCAAATAATAATAACCAAGTACGGTTCTGTACTTATAACACTGTTAAACCTTAATCACATTTATATTTTTCATACAAAATGGGAAATAATAAGAACCATCAAAACAATTACAACAGCTCTCCACAATTTATTTTAATGCTCAATTCTGCCTCAAAATGCATTGTCTGAAAGAAAAGTGAAACATTATTTAAATGAATAATTTGTCAATTACAATACACCAAAATAAATAACTGATATCTTTAGATATTGTTATATAAGGGGGTACCACCACTGGCTGTCAGAAGGGGGGGGGGGGCATAGTCTCGGAGAAAAGTACACACAATGCATTATTTTTTTGTGGGTTCCCTACAATGCAGTTTCCATGTTCTTTAGTCCTATCCCTCCTCCCTATTTTCTGGATTGTTTGTTCATTATGTACATAACTTAATATCATTTGTATAAACTGTCATCTTTTAGATTCAAATATATTTATATTAAAGTGCTGTGTTATGTAACAAATATGAAAATTCTCAATATTTAGTAGAAATTTAAACTACAGAGGACCACTTTCTTTGTGAATCCCTCGGGGATGAAACCCATCGGTTACCGTGGAAGTTCGGAAACGAGAAATGTAGGGAAACAAATCTAGGGGGAGGGGAAAGGGGGGAATCGACAGGTTCATAGCATCTGTGCGACAGTATTTTGTTTGTACCTACCAATAAGAAAAGTCCTGATCCACTTATGTTGATGATCATTGTTTATGTAGCATAATTATTTACATGTATGATGTGGTGGTGGACGTTGGTGTTGGGTTGACTGAAGTGGAAAATAATGGTGATAAGGTAACCTCAGATGTTGATGCATCTGGGTCAACATGTGATGAGTCAGGTGCATGTGAGGCAATGTGAGCTTTCTTGGAAGCCTTTGCAAAAGACTCTTTAATTGACATTTGTTTCATTCCCTTTGATCTTGTTTTCAAAAGCTATATATACAAATTGTACTGGTCAGTCAGGCATTCACAATCACAACCAGTCAAAGGCTGTTAAGCATTCACAGTTGTGGTAGCAAGAGTCACAGTTTGTAAACAACATGAGTCTGGTGTTTACAGAACACCAACGTTATGTATTCTCGCAAACGCAAAGTACCTTCTTGTATATAAGTCAGGGCAGTCAGTCAGTGAGTGAGGGCAGCCGAGAATCTGAACCATATTAATACCCGTCTACACGTGCCTTGTGGGGTGGGAGGATATTTCTGGGAGGGTTCGGTGTGGAGATGGGTAGGATGTAGAGGGGATAGGGAAGGTGAGGGGATGTGGTATGACCACAAACAGTCTGTGATAGTCTCTCTTCGCCTGCCCGCCCGCCTGCTTGAACCCACCCAAGCACGCCTACCTGCCCGAACCTACCCAAGCCCCCCTACCTGCCCAAATCTACCCAAGCCCGCCTACCCGGCCGAACCCAACCAAGCCCACCTACCTGCTTGAACCCAACCAAGCCCGCCTACCTGCTTGAACCCAACCAAGCCCGCCTACCTGCTTGAACCCACCTAAGCCTGCCTACCTGCCAATCAAAAGCCTGCCCCACCAGCCCCACCAGCTTGCCCACCCTAGCTTACCCACCCAGCCTGTATGCCAGTCACCAATCCATTCATCCACACTGCCCACCCACCCGCTCACTTGCCCAGCCAGTCTGCCAACCCAGCCAACATCCCTGCCCATGCACCTACCCACCCTGCCTGCCTTCCAGCTGGCCACCAATCCATCCACTTACCTACCTACCTACCCACCCAGCCAGCCCACCCACCTGCTAGCTAGCCTGCCTGCCTGCCAGTCAGTAAGCCACATATCCACCCACCCACCTGCTAACCCTACCTGCCAGCCATCCCATTTTACCAACCCCCCACCCTCCCTGCCCACTTGCCTACCCATCCACCCACCAGTCAGCCATCACTGACACAATGCGGGCATTTGGAACCGACATGGTGCACGGATGTTCCTAGATTGTGCAGATATATCCAACAAGTCAATGAATGAACACTCCAGTATTGTGACAAATCAAAACAATGGGCCATGAATCTGTGATGTCACAAGGCAGAAGGCACTAGAGTGGCACCCGACACGGTCAGTGGACAAACTAGGCCATCTCCCACCCACCACCTCAGGCCAGCGCGAGGCCTGGCAGACCCTTCCTCGCTTACCGAACTTAGTTCTGGAAGTGTGAAACCCCAACCCTGATTGTGAAACTGGAACTTTTGGATAACTTAGTTTGCAAACCAAGTGGTCCTCTGTATTATCATCCCAGTTCAGTATTTTATCAAATTTGTATACTTATGTTTCTTCTAATCACTCAAAGAATATCTAAACCAGTCTGGGTCCACCTCCAATTATCACAGACAACAGAGGTACTAAATTATTGATTACAGTATACACTCGATTTAATGATTTATATAGGGCCATACCCTACTAGCTAATCCTGAGGTTGTTAAATGTCAGTAAAGATGACCAAACCACACATCAGAAAGTGAAGGAAACGACGTCGTCTCGGTCCATCCTGGACCGGGCATTTCCTGGATCTAGCCGTGTGGTTCAGGATGGATCAAAATGATGTCATTTCTTTCACTTTGATGTGTGGTTTGGTCATCATATCAACCATGTTATTGTGACTCATCATCTGCATGCCAGTAATATTTAGAGTAATTTTCAGGACACCTAAAGTGTGTTTTCCATTGCGCAAATAATGTAACTTGCAGACATACTGTACTGCAATAATACAGAACAGTATAATACGCAAACATTTTTCATTTTCCTCTGCCTGAAAAGCTGTGTAACCTTCTTACCCTCTAAAATGCCTAAAATTTCTATGCAGTATGCACAATATCGGTATGGACTTATAACACAAGTTAGTGATAAGTGGGTTCATGGACAAGTACAAAACAACTTGGCTAAAAACTAAGCTGCTATAAATATCCTTCCCTAATCTACCCCTTCCCCCAAATCTCCCATAAACCTGACTACTGAAGTCTTTATTCCCTACAATAATAGCTAGTTTTGTTATGTATTTATTCACTAACTGTCCTTATATATTTTATGCATTTTTGAGTTAATTTCATTGCATTTCTAATTTATTTATCCTTGAATAGCTTTGATAGATTAATTTTGTGCCCATACTGTTGTAAATAAAATGTGCATTATTTAGTCACTTTGTAATGAGGTATGTAATGACACTCATTGTCTAAGTTTGTCTAAGCCCATCTGCACCATCTCTATCTCCTCAGCACCCTTCCTCCAACATACAATGGCAGGAATCAACATAGTTGCCAGAGGAATTTTTAAACCTGCCATTTCAAGAACCCAAGGTCATAGATTTAGGCTAGAAACAAAGGTGCCAAAAAACATAAGGTCTCCTTTTGCAAACAACATTGTGAATGATAGGAACAATTTAAGGGAAAAGGGGGGGGGGAGAAGTCAAAACCATCAGCAGTTTCAAAGTGCCATATGACAAAGTTTATGGGAATATGGATATAACATTGCCACAGCAATATGATCACTACCTACAAAATAACAAGAATTCTTGAAACCTGCAACTTCAAGAACAAATGGTCATACGATTCGAGCTAAGGAAACAACAGTGCCCCTAAAAATGAGAGAAAACTCTTTTTGCAGTGGTAGTTGGAACATGGTAAGTGAGAAGGCAGTGAATACCCCCCAAAAATAATTTCAAAGTGCCACAACAAAAAAATGTACTGGGAAGATGTGATACCACATGCATAGCTCTAATCCTGTAACAACACTTTGGTAATTACACCCACAATTACTCTACGAAAGTGTTGTGGAAAGCATTGGCCTAGCAAAGGCCAAGTTGTGCTACAATGAGCCCGAATATTTACAGAGCAGCGAGCTCCATAAATTTAACAAAGTAGGCACTCTGGCCTTAACTGCTGATGGATCCAGATACTGATGTCAAATTCCAATGCTAAATCTAGCTATACATTATGCCACAGGTCCTTAAAGCGAGTGGATACTGTACTCAATTATGTTCATTTAAAGTAAGGATGATTTTTTAACGTGATTTGAAATTATTATTTTATGATTGCACACATTTTAAGGAATATTTGATATTTATATTTTATATATTTTTTCAACACTAAAATTATTCAGGTTAAACAAAAGCTAGAGAGTTATGCAGTGTGTGAATAGTAAGTACTGTACAGTAACAACAATATGAAATGTTTGTTACCAACTTCACTCATCACTAAATTTTTTGATTCAACATCTGCTGCCAAAAAGATTGTCATTATAAAAAAAAAAAACTTTGATTTTGAAAATGTAACAGGATTGTGAGTCATTCATTAAAAATAAATTTAAATAATAACTCAAAAGGCTGACTACCTTACAAAAAATAGTTTGCATACACAATCGAGGAGGAAGAAGCCAAGTCAAGAAACCTAGCTAAATGGGTGACCAGCATGGTTTGTGTCAGATATAAGCATTGTAATGTGTTCTAGCAAGATTCACAAAGCATATCAGTATACGTTAATTTTCAGTCAATACTCTATTAAACAATTTTAGGTGAATACATTTAGGAAAGACAGGTACCATGGCTAAACATGTTACATGTTTCAAACATTGTTTTGATTATTCTGAAAGTTACTTGCAATTAGAGCTGGTTTATGCCTGCCTGCTTTAGAATCTGAATCTAAATATGATATACAGGTACTTTACTTTTGCTAGAACACTGTTTAACATTACTCAACCTGGGGCAGAGAGCCATCCTAGGAGCAACTTCTAGACTGCTAAATGACTGATGCCGCCATCTCCATCACTTGAATACCTTCTTGTTTACATTTTAAATAACCTACTGACTGATTCCTAAAAAAAAAAAAAAAAAAAACATTAAAGTGAAAACAATGTAAAGCATACTGTACTCAAAACTATGAGCTGGTGAACTTTAGCTCCAGTAAATATTTGATTATTTAACAATTCTATTTTTGAATATCTAAATTATGTGAATAAAGACATAAGAACATGTTTAAAAGATAAAATTCTATGACTTAAAAAATACAAATGTAAATGTACTGTGGCCATTTATGATATATTTCTATGCACATTTAAGTCTTAATCATGGAGTATCACGTATATCTTCTAAACATTATACAATTCTCAATTATTAAATCATAAAAAATAATCAAATAAATCATACATTCTAAAAACGTATTAAGACAATGTTTATAAATATATATGATAAGATCAGAAGTTAGAAGAGTGCTCAGAGCAGAAGTTTAACAGAGCACTTGTCTCTTAAAGTATTTTGACACAACAAGGACCATACTTGGTGAACACACTCAGTTCAGCAACACTTGACAACTGCACATGTAACACTAAATGTTACCACAACACTGATCTGCTTGCTTCATTTTTTTACTTTTATTTTTTTATTAAAAATACATACATTTTGTTAGGTTAAAAAATTCAGCAAGCAACATCAAAAAATGTTTCCATGTATGTGCAGAGGTTTGGCTGTGCTTTATACAAGGGTTGTACTCAACATAAGTGTGTTTACTAACTATGATTTTGTCTTGATACAAGTGCTACAAAAAGCACATACTGCTGATCTATGCATGGAAAATCAGGAAAATATACTAACTATAATACACAAGTACTGTACCAATAATATATACTCTCAGCTGTACACTACACAGGAACATACACAATTTCCAAATATAACAAATGGTTTCCACCACAGCTCACTGCTATATAAAGCTATTGAGGAGGAGAAATAACGTGTTGCACCATCTCCTAAAGCAAGAGGCCATTACATGAAACACTGACACCAAATACACATCCGTTCTTGCTCTATATAATGGCTGACTAAAATCATAATGGAAAGACAATCAATTTAAAGATTGTCATGTACTCAAGACACAAGACACTATTTGAAGCAAGTGTGGAGGGACAAGAGGCTCAGATGTCCTGGGCTAATACCTGATTGGTTTTATACACATGTAATGAAACCATTACAAAGTTACTTCTTTAGTCCAGCATTATTTTTCAAGTGGCTGGAAGCAATTTATTTTTTCTGCAAGAATCACTTTGCCTATTAGCACTATAGTACATTTGTATAATGTTTATATCACCCATTTTTTCTATCTGGCAACTATTATTCATTTCAGTTACTACACCAAAATGGACACTACAATTGGCACCAATTGAATATATTTATGCTAGAAAAACTAGGTCATGCCAAAGTCGAATGTTTCAGCTGTGCCAAACGTTTACATGCCTCGTGGAATGTGGGCCGCAGGTGAGGATCCAAATCCCAAGACTGAAAGACAATTCACAGTTAAAATAATCATAGCAATATTTATCAAATCAATGCTGATCAGATTTTAAATAGTTGACAAAAAAAAACATTGAATGTAATGAAATGCCTTTTTCTGGACAGCTTTAGTGGCTACTCAATACAGCTACTACTTGCATTCCCATGAGCTATGGGAATGAAAAGTGATCAGCTGGCTAACAGGAGTAAAAAGTCATCTGCTCCTGTACCCACTAGTGTTACAAAAAAAAAAAAAAATGGGTTGGCTTGAGCACCAGTCAGATCCGCTAAGGCATCCTCACTTAAACCAAAATCTCATCAAATACCTCAAAAACCAGTGAGGCCTCAAGCCAAAACTGTTTAGGAGCTCTTGTTAGCAGCAGAAGCAAGAGAAAGTACAAATAGGTACTGACCAAACCCCTGCCCCAGTAGGTGAAATGGAGGAAGATCCAGATTTATTACAAATCTGCATAACTAAAGCCTAAAAATCCTCATAAGAAACAATGCTTACCTCCCATAACACCAGCCACAGATGAAGACTGCAAAAGCTGGTACTGTACTATACAGTGCATGTTTAAAGGGTAGAAGCCACCCAACAGACCACACTGTGTGGTGGTTCAGCCAACACACACACACACACACACACATCTAGCAAGAAATATCACACCATGTGGATAAAAAGTCCAGCACTGAATATAATGAAATGCCTCTTTCTCCTAGGTTTCTTGGTGACTGCTCAAGTTCTCCACCTTGTAACCTCTGAACCTTGAGTACCATACCAAGCTCTGAGTCATGAGCTCCTACAGAGACCAGGATTAGAATCTAGCTCACCCAGTAGAGCCAAGGGAAATCTGGGGATACAAGATCATGATAATCTGAAGGAATGACCACCAGAAAGGTAGAATACATCAAAATGAGCAACTGCATGGACAACAGTTGGAACCACGATGTGAACTATGTACATGCTCACTGTATAGGTCCAAACGTTAGCAACACGTGTTCACCATCAGATGGCCAAATTTCAGTTGGCAGAAGCAAGAGGGTCCACCCAACCAACTACATAATCCAATTATTCATGCGTTTGGTGCTCTGGGTGCCACACCACTTTTTGGGCACAAATTTCAGCTAAGTGTTGACCTTCCTTTTGGACTGTTCTGACAGTCACAAACAGCTTGTGTTTGTTCCTGTTCAGGATTCAAGTGTGTGCATTTTAGGCCTTCCTGTTGTGTGCCATGATTCATATCTTTTCCTCGGCTGCATGTGATTAGAGTTGTCTCTTCTTGTTGCCACTGGCGTTGCCCCTACACTGCCCCTATGTTGCCACTGGCGTTGCCCCTACATTGCCACTGGCGTTGCCCCTACGTTGCCACTGGCATTTTCTGGGGCAACTGGCGTTGCCCCAGAAAACCCTGGTCAGGGTTTTCTTCCATGAGAAAGTTCAGGTGTCTGCCCCTCAGGGCAAACACAATAACCTCATTGCATAGTATGCAATTACAAAACAGCAGTGTGTTTTTGTGGGTCTTGACCATAAATCCATACAGATGTATTGTATTATAGTCATATAATCATCATTGGCATAAAAATCTGGCAAAAAGATAAAAGATAATAATGAAAATTGGCAAATGACTATGACTGCATGTTGAACGTCAACTTGGTCTAGTTTAAGGACAGTGTCTAATGCACCACCTAGATACCAGAGCAACACAAGAGAAGTTCCAGATAGGACACTCAAACCCTTCGAGAAGATAACTGATGAGGAAACAGAAAATGCAATCTGGCATCAGGGAAGATAATCCTGAAACAATGTTGTGGCAAACTAATCAGCTAAGGACATGCATGGCCTCTTTGGGACAAATAAGTCCCAGGGTACACAAACCCCACTTAGCTCAAAGAAGTGTTGGTCCTTGCATAGGTAGTGATTGAGTGGTTAATACCACGCATGAGTTTTAGGCATTCAAGCATGAAGGTGGAAACCCTTGGGTGATTTGGGTTGCCATAGGATAGTGTGCTTGGATTCTTTGCATGGTTTGTTGACATTGGGCAAGTTTCCACTTCCACTGTTGTTGCCATTTATCTCTTCTTGATGAAAAGTACAATGTAACCTCTATCTGGCAAACTGTATGGGACCAACCCCAATTCATTGCATCCGGAGTTTCATTGTAATTAATGCTTTCTGTATGATTTTTTCCTTAAAACAAGAAAAATACATATATATATATATATACTTGTTGCTTCTAATTCTAATTATTCATCTTCAAAAATCATAAACATATACGTGATTAGAGCCATATTAAAAGTGTTACCATTCATACCCTAATATTTCCCATGCTTAATGGGCTAATTTTACTAAGCAAAATTTTTGTTTAAATCTATCATATGATGGACAACTACAGGGGAGAATTTTATTTCTATAGCTTATTTCCCACACCCCCAGTCTCGAAACCTCCTTTTCAAAGGTAGCCCCATTACCTACAGTAAGTGAAGAAAAACTGCAAATGCAAAATGAAAACAAACCATAGAATTTGATTAACATGCTCAATGGCTTTTAGTAGCCACTTTGGGCCATCCCAAAAAGTAGATATAGTTTTATATTTAGTGTAAATTCAACAGTAGTTATGGTAGTTCCTTGGCATAAATTGTGAAACAATTTGCTTTTGGCATACCTCCTTCATCAACTGATACACCTCTGGGGGACAACAGTCAGGGGCTTCCATACGGTAACCCTTCTCAACATGCTTCATCACGTCTGCCAGTGGCTACAAAATGAATATAACACAATTTAATGATAATATAACTGGTCTAATTTGTTTCTAATATACTATACTATAATATATTTTGATAAAGTTATTTAGCACAGTATAAAATAACAAGATTAAATATTTTGTTTTAAAAACCAGATTATATAAATAAATTCTGACTATATATACACAACTTACAATTCTTGGGTACGGAACTCTACCGAAGGAGTAGATCTCCCAGAGAAGAATACCAAATGACCACATATCAGATTTGTTTGAAAATTTCTGTAAAAAGAAAGTGTTTTATCATAGCTTGAAGCAATAAAACAACTTTATTTATATTGATCACATGTACGTAATGATGCTACAGATATACATGTTATTTTTTAGTCGAGTTTTGAAACATTATCTCATAATTTAAGAGGGATAGTTAGGTCAAAATTAACAATGAAAATATAATAAAAAATAGTACTCAGGCAAAGTAGTGGTAATACGAATAACATGGAGTCTTGAAGAACGTCAAGGCAAGATGAAAGGGTGACTGTACCTCATAATGACCCATGAGGCAAAAGGAAAGTTAAATAGTTAAGTGAAAGAGCTGATAGACAAGTTCAAAAGATGGTTAGATAAAGTTACTATGGACAAAAGAACCTTGATGACATGTGGAATTGATCAAAGAAATGTTTGGTTTAGAATGCCAAGGAACTGAATTGAGTTGCACAAACTTGTAAAAGAATGAGAAGAAATGGTTGGTGGGGTGCATAGGTGGTAAGAGTGCAGGATTATCCTAGCCAGGCCTTGTTGCTATTGTATGGGTGGTTGGGGGTGTATGCTTCATGTAGAGTTTCTGTTTCAGGGTTCAACCCAGGATGGAAACCTGGCTCCTGTGGTTCTCCATACAGGCTGGTCAAAGTTACTGTTTTGTATGTTCTTCGGTAAGTATTTGAGAGATTTGTTACTTCTTTTCTGTATGGACATTAGCTGGTGCTTCGCATGTATTTAATATTCTTTATATTTGTTCAATATTTTATGACATCTAATTATTCATATGATTGCTCAAAAAATTCAACAGTATGTTGCCCTAATTATAAACATATTTTCCTATTCCCCATGTGCCACAAAATTTGAGATTGAACACTGGCCCATCTGCTTTGTGCATTACACATTCATGAGCATGTATGCATTTTAAACTGACTCCTTTGGTGCTCTTTATACCCCCACCATGCTCAATAGTGCTGCTTTGAGTATTTTGCATTGGTCAGTATACCCATGGAGCATAATGGAGTACAGACTCAATTGTTTTGCATTCAGGTCCCCCTGCTCATAATGATGGGCGCTTTGTGGGCAGCTCCTAAGTAGTCAACTTCTCATGATGAGAATTTCACATGGCTTGCTCTTCAACATCCTGTAGATTAAAGAAACCCTCACCACCAAAATTATTGGTCATCTGCAAAGTCTCTTATATTTGATTGCCTAATGTGTGGCAGCAAATCAAAATTCTGCACCACTGAGGAACATAATAATAATGTTCCAAAAGGCACTGATGGTAGATCCCAGTGACCTCATTCCAGTACTCCTTTATGACTTCATTTCCATCAATGGTAATATGTGCAAGCCAATAGTCTGGTACACCAGTTTCTTTATTTGTCTTTAATGCAACTACTATCTTCTTGACAGTTTGCAGCATATAACAACCTTCAATAAATGATATAGTTATACCTAGGACTATAGTATAACATGTTAAGTGAAAGGAAAATGGCCTTGGCATTGTCATTTACACCCTGGGGCATTGTCTAATGACAATACAGTAAAAACCTTGAAAGATAGGTTTAGTAACTTAGAATATTATTTTATCCAAGGCACAAAACTCAGTGTAAACTAATCAATGTTTAACATCTTAATTAGATGTTATCCAAGTCTTCTGTTTTGACTTAGTCAACTAGAAAGGGATTTCTCTTCACGGTTCAAGTATTAGTGAATTTTGTTGTGGGGTTGCATCCGTGGTTAAAGGGAGGGGGAGGATAGGGGGAAAGAGGGTAAAAGAGAAGGGGGGTGGAAAGAGGTACAAGGAAAACGAAGAGAGAGAACATATTAAACAGTTGCTTACACTGTGTCTGAGAGCCTCTGGTGCAGTCCATTTAATTGGGAATTTTCCACCATCCAACTTGAGGTTCATTTCATGGGCCAGGCCAAAGTCACACACTTTGGCTACCCCATCCTCGCTTATAAGGACATTACGTGCCGCCAAGTCACGATGAACAACCTTCTGCGACTCCAAGTATGCCATTCCACTACAAGTGTCACTGTCAAGAGGACACACGATCAATGTACAAAGCATTGAGCTTTAAGTATACTTTCTCTCACCTGAAAAAAATATTATAAATACATTGTTTGCTATATAATCTAAAGCTGTGTGTGTGTGTGTGTGTGTGTGTGTGTGTGTGTGTGTAATATAATTATTTTTAGGTTAAATTACTTTGTCAGGAACAGAGGAAAGCAAAATATAAAATGCTTTCCTTTTTCTCTGATTTTAGCTTCCAATGTCTTTTTTTATTCAGTGAATTAAAATTTAGAAAGAGAGAGAGGGAGAGAGACTGGATAAAAACAGTAACAGTACTAGTGATTTAATACTTACCAAGCAAAGTTGATCTGGTCTCTTTTAGTAACATGTAGTCTTCCCCGTGACCGTAGGTAATCCACTAGTGAACCTTTGCTCATAAACTCTGTCACCAGAAGTATGCAAGAATCTTCAAATACCAGACCCAAAAGATTCACTAAATTGTTGTGCTTCAAACTCCTGTGAACAAAAAAAAATGCATTATCATTGGCTCTGCTAATAACTAATTCCACATAACTCATTAAAAATATGTTATATCACTCTTAGTTCATACAGTATTGATATCAAATACTAATATGAATTTATAGATTCAGTGTCACATCAGAATCTATAAATATGCACTTTCATGTAGGGAAGAGCTGGTATGGTTTACCCAAGGTTTTGGTTCATATGAACCAGGCATCTCAAAGGCTATCTATCTCTCTATGGTTCACAAGTGTGAACCACACAGATGGTGGACTCTAACACCACAGCCAGTGTAGAGAGGTGAGGGGGATTGAGGAACACATGAAAGAGTAAAGACAGTTTTTTGAATCTGTAACCTTAATTTTTTATACTACTGAATATAGAAGAGTAAGTTGCCGTGATTTCTGGGAGTTATATAATGTACAGTGCAGTGTATCCTTGCTTGAACAAACTACATGGGGCAAGGCTAATTAGTTCCATTAGAGATTTTGTCCGACCTGAAAGCCCCCCTTAGTATTACGATTACTCCAGTAAAACATTTTGCTAATAAAAAAGGCAAATTACAGAGTTCATAATGCAATAATTGAAAATAAAATCTCTGATTATGCCAACCAACCAATGTTTGATGACATGCATTGATAAATGGCTTGGTAGTATTTTTCTAGCTTTTTTTTTATTTTTTTTTTATAATTTTGAATTATTATTGAATGATACTAATACTTGTATGACAGTTTATCGTATTTTAGTATTTTTTTAAAGTTTTAATGCATTTTATTAATATTTGATCATTTTTTTGCAAACAGGAGAAAAACAAACACGGTACATCTTAAAATAGCAAGTCACGAACACAAACGTTCTCTTCCTGAAATCAACTAACATTCCTCACAAAGTATATACACCCATATATATATACAGGCTGCCAATAACATTTAGTAGTTAGACATCATCTCTAACTCAACTCTTCTAATTTACTTAAGTTATATCACATCTTAATGGGTCAAAAACATGTTTAAATTCATGTGCTTTTTTTTAAATCCTTATTTGCATAATGTATATTTTTTATATTAATTTCATATTAGGATATACATTTCATTATTCTTGAATTTTACCAGGAAAATGTACCTTAACTTTTTAGCGTATGTGAAGTGATAATTAGAGCACTCGTGAGGAATCCACTGAACTTGATCCACTGGAGGTAAATTCTCATTTTAATTTTTCTCCAATTCTATAGCATACAGCAGTCTAATAAATTGGTCAGTTGTACCCCTAGGTCTACAAAATGGAATATGACCCCAATAAGATTTGTCCAAAACTCTGACTCTGGAAAGCCAAATTTATGTTGGTAAACTATACCAACTTTCACTACAGAAAAAATGCATACATACCACTCATAAATCTTAACTAATCTGAATCTTTCCAGGTGATGTTGTCATAGTTTGGACTTAGCATCTTTCAAGGCAACAATCCAGCGACCATATACCTTCTGGGTAGTGAACTTGAGCACGTGCGTGTGACTCGTGCCAAAGATCTGCCACTAAATAAGATTTCAATCATGAAGTCATTGAAAGACACTGTACTAAAATGCACCCAGTATCCCATTGTCCAACCTCGAGCACTCACGTCATAAGCGAGGCCTCTTCTAACAAGCCTTGGGCTGCTCTGCTGCTGTCCTTCAGTCTCTTGACAGCGACCTTCTGTCCTAACCATTCACCAAGCAATACATCACCAAATTCTCCTTTTCCTATAGAGTCCAGCAACTGAAAATCAAAAGATAAATTTATATGTAGTATAAAAAAAATAAAAAATGGCAGCACTTACTATGTGAATGTCTCTGGGTTTGTTGTAATATACAACATATGGTTTTCTATGTGGGCCAAGTTCATGAAAAAGGTTCACAGGATTTACATTTACCAAGCAGATTTTGTCAAGTAGGCTAGAAGAAAAATGTTTCAAGCAGTATAATTAGCAAAGAATCACAACCTTTGTTTATGATAATGTTAGTCTTAGTTTTTACTAATGCTGGTGACAGGCATAGAACTAAACAGACAATTGCTAGCAAGACTGCAAAGCTCAGAGCATTAACAAATGTCATACACAGCCTTCCTGTAACCTACTATTATTCAAAGAATATTTAAGTAACAAAGATGACTGGTTCACAATACTTTTTGCCCAGAAGCCTAACCATCTGATGAAGCAAGGGAAAATAAGGTCACACAGATTTTAGTACAAGCTGTACCTGTATTGTTGAATTTACATAATGCCTCTGGTCAATCCGATATTAACAATTTAAAATCTACTGATGGATCTCTAACAGGTATGTCTTTAGCACCAAACACTATTTCTCTGATCCAACCTATAATTATATATACTTTTAAAATCTTTATAAAAAGTGTTTGCTTAGTGATACTTTGGAACCTGAAATAAATGAGAATGAAAAGTACATAACGGAGAAGAAAACTCAAGAAACATTGAGCATCTCAAAAGATATACAATTAATGGCACAATTAATGTTCAAATGAGAACTTGATAAACATGGAATGTGAGTCATATGTGAGAGACTGTAAAGAGTTGTCTTAAGAACCTGGTAGACCAGACCACCAAGCAGAAGGCCTAGTCAGAGACCGGGCTGCAGGGACATTGATCCCTGAATCCAACCCAAAGTAAACACAAGGTAAACTGATAACTGTGCTAAAGCTTGGAAGCAGACCTGACATAGTGTCTTACAAACTTTAGTTTCAGCTCATAAGTTTGATTCTAATGGTCTTGAGGTCAAACAAAGCTGCCAAAGATTGAGAAACGATGTACAGGTTTGTAAGTGCTTGCGTAACTGCTTCATGAATCCAGGTCCTGGCTAACAATTGTAGTAGTGTGTTGTAGCATAGCTCTGGGACTGTCGATAGAGCAAATGTTGAAGTCATATTTTACTAACCTTTAATTCTTGTCTGTTTATGGACCAGCCTGCAGCTTTGAAGGCATTTACTGCATCGGCTGCATATTCACGTCTGCCTTGTTTTGGCACTGATCGCTTCAGCTGAGTACACAATCCATCAGCATCCTGCTCATAGTGCTGTAAGCAAAACTTAACTCACTATATAGAGTACTGTACCTAAACTTTACAATATTTATTCATCATTTGTATGAGTTCAAATTATGCAAAATTACTTCATAAACAAGGATATGAATATCAAAATACTTGCACTTATAAGTTTAACCAAACTTGTTAAACCAGCTTCATTTGTTATTTATTTAGTTTTTCTTAAAACCAAGCAAGAGTTTGTAGAATGTTTCTTATTATGGAATTTGTTTAACACCTATATGCTTGCTGAACATAGTTAGACATTGGGAGGATCGAAACTCCCTTCTCAGAGCAACCCGTCTATTGCTCTCTGATCCAAAACACTGCTCGTACACCATGGTCCACCTGGGACACTGCTCGCACACTGTGGTCCACCTGGGACACTGGTCGCACACTGTGGTCCACCTGAGGACACTGCTCGCACACCATGGTCCACCTGGGACACTGCTCGCACACCATGGGCCACCTGGGACACTGCTTGCACACCACGGTTCACCTGGGACACTGCTCGCACACCACGGTTCACCTGGGACACTGCTCGCACACCACGGCCCACCTGGGACACTGCTCGCACACCATGGTCCACCTGGGACACTGCTCGCACACCACGGTCCACCTGGGACACTGCTCGCACACCATGGGCCACCCGGAACACTGCTCGCACACCATGGTCCACCCGGAACACTGCTCGCACACCATGGGCCACCCGGAACACTGCTCGCACAGCAGGTTCTAGGTGACTTTTTGCCCCACTGTGATGAAGTACATTTCATATGGTCTTGCCACATAGTGTTTCAGTGCTTTCAATGCCTTATTTCTGTGAAAGGACCCCAAAGAGACCAAAAAAGAAAACATAAATGGACAGTAATTTACCCGAGCAGAAGATCGAAGCCAGGAAGGCCTGCGAGAAGTAAAACCCACAAAGAATCCTAAGGAAACAGACCTACAGTCCAAGGTCCTACACTGAAGGCAGAACCATATACTTCCTTCTTTAGGAATGTGAGGCATGTGAAAAAACTTTGACACTAAATTGAATACCATCAGACACCCAAGCAGGGCACCGATGGAACAGCCACTGGGCAAAATCAGCAGGACAAAACCAGTTCTGTACAGAGGAAGAGCCTCCACCCCTTCCCCAAGCCTCCTCCCAGGTAAAGAGGATGCAATAACCATCAATAACATACCCTGACACTAAAAGCAAGCCAAGAAACAAGACTGAACTCCCACAGCATTTGAAATATTGTCACCCAAGCCAAGCAAAGAAGTTATCCAGGAAACAGAGTTTCAAAACCCTCCACATGAATGAAACACAAAGACCAGAACATTAGGGATGAGCCAAACATAAGCTAGCACACACCCAACACTAACATATTGCACAGGAAAGAAAATTTTGCACATTCCAGGCAAAGCAAGAAACTGCAACACCTAATTCCTGGAGAGAAGGAATCAATACCCAAACAAGGAAGGCCCCAAGATTGCCCCCACAATCATGCATGGAGAAAATGCAGCCAGAACAGCAACTCACAAGGCAGTGCTGCACAGGAACACTGAAGATACACAAATATATGAGCACTGGAGAAATATATCAGCATGTGCTCACCAAACCCTGTACCCACATCAATGGAGAAGGGCAAGGGTATCCACAGATTAGACAAAACAAAAAAACAAGGGTCAAATGAACACTCAAGTAAACTTTCTGGTTAACAATGGCTGACATGCAAGCACCACAATGAAACCACATACTCAAACATGAAGTGTGTAAGCAAAGGCTTTGGCATAGTGGCTTAAAGGCACCATTAACATAGTGGCCTAACTGAAAAGGATCACACTGAAGGTTATCTAACAACCTTACAGGGAATATCTCTAATGGCTGCTGGTCCTCACAATCAATCCCAGAGAAAATAAATGAAACCAAGCTGAAACAGACTGCAAAGATCAGAGAGAGAAAATGGCTTGACCCAACATTGTGAAGCAAACACTGAAGCATGGAATCTCCTGTGCAGAGACCAAGTTTCGAAGAATAACCAGCAAACGTAACTAAGTCAGTCTCTGCAGAACTGAGGTTCTTTATGTGGTGGATGCCAGGCACAAATTTAGAGGTACCACCTCCTCAGACCCAGTTGTAATACTGTAGCTAATGTCAGCACCTGGTGGCAGTCAGTGTATGAGGTAGTTGCTAGTTATGTATTTTCTGACAATAAATGACTGGTGTTTTTTTGTGGTCCCTGTGATTATTTGGAAGGGGTGTAAGTGCTTTGATATATTCTTTGGTAGAGGATAGAGATATACTTTCCACCGTGCTTCCCACCTTTATATTACATGACAAGGTACATCAAGGCACTCTAACATCAAACCAAATGGAGGGGGTGGGGGGGGGGGAAGGACCTTCGACAAGCCACTGGCTTCCTGTCCTCGTCGAGGCCACTAGAGTTAGTGGCCCTCAGGTAAATCTGGTGACAAGACCATTTGAAACATTACTTAGCTCAATGGGTCTCAAAGTAGTCTAGAGCCTGGTGTGTTAGCAGTGGCCCATATAGACCCGTGGCCCTGGTTTAGGGCAACAATCAAAAAAGTTTTGTTCAGAAAGGGAGAATAATATAGTGAAAGTAGGTTTATAAATAATATATATCCTGAACTTTGCTGCTTACCTCAACAAGTTTTGTTAGATGTTCAAAATATTCCTCTTCATCAATGGTTAACTTGCTATCTTTGTATATAACTCTATAATGCTCAACCTGAAATAAACACTGAATTATTAACCAAAGAGTACAGTTGATTTTTGGAGATAATATTGGCATTTCAAAGCATTGATCTTGGCACTAATTTAAAAGCATCAAGAAGTAATTATCAAAAGAAGGCACCAAGCCAGGGAGACTGTGTATCACCATCAGTGTCGTTGGATACTCAACAGGCGCTAAATATCACTGAAGATGCCAATACAAGAACAAAAACACATAAGGCAATCAGCTCCCCAAGAAGTATTGGACAAAATTAAGTTAGTTAAGGGCATTCAATTCAGAGGCAAGATATATGAGGTGACCAAGACAACTGGGAGTCAATGATCAACTCCATCAGTTTAGCTGAATATTTATACAGAATGGGACCAAAGAGCAGAAGCTCAACTCCCACAAATACAACTAGTACAGAGTGACAATGGTGGACGAAGAACAATCTGTTTCTGAGTAAAAGTCATAGCACAGGATTTAGGTGTAGAAAACTAGAAGCCATGATTGTTGGCCCAGGATGACATGGCATCAAACGCAAGTTGAACTGTTGCTGGAGGTAAGCAGAGTAATTACCTCAACAGCAGAGAGCGAGATCATCAACATAAAGGGCCAAATAAATACTGGAAGAAAAAGAGGAAGGAAGACCATTTAGGGGCAACTAGGAAAAGAGTGGTGCTCAGAACACTAACCTAGGGAACACCTCCATATTGTACCATGATTTGTTACACAAGATCTTCCTGTTCGAAAACCACATTGTCTGTCTGTTGTTATGTCATTACTCACCAGGTGTTCTACCCATTTGCTTTTAGCTACTGTATTTTTACTAGTATTTTGACTACAAATGTGTGTCGGGGTTGGGAAAAGAGGGGATAACCACAGTGAAAAATTACAGGTTAACGGCTTGGCGCTTTCAACTCTTCTGAGTCGTCATCAGAGCTGTACCGGTAAAGACAAGTGTAGAGACAATTTAAGAGGAGGGTGAGATAGGATGCTGTCTAGACAAAAACACATCAAAGGAGGCTGCCAACATCACTAATAACCTTGACAAGCCGCTCGAAGTAAAGAAATTGGAATGCGAGAAATAAGACAGAGATCACATATGTATATATATATGTATGTGTGTGTGTGTGTGTGTGTTTTTTAATATATATATATATATATATATATATATATATATATATATATATATATATATATATATATGTCGTACCTAATAGCCAGAACGCACTTCTCAGCCTACTAATCAAGGCCCGATTTGCCTAATAAGCCAAGTTTTCATGAATTAATGTTTTTTCGTCTACCTAACCTAACCTAACCTAACCTAGCTTTTTTTGGCTACCTAACCTAACCTTACCTATAAATATAGGTTAGGTTAGGTTAGGTAGGGTTGGTTAGGTTCGGTCATATATCTACGTTAATTTTAACTCCAATAAAAAAAAATTGACCTCATACATAGAAAAAGGGTTGCTTTATCATTTCATAAGAAAAAAATTATAGTAAATATATTAATTCAGGAAAACTTGGCTTATTAGGCAAATCGGGCCTTGAATAGTAGGCTGAGAAGTGAGTTCTTACTGGCTACTAGGTACGATATATATATATATATATATATATATATATATATATATAGCTAGACTAAATGGTATCAAAAAGAAGAAGAGATGATGCACTCAGGGGAGAAACTTAGTTCCTCCTTAGACTAGGAGAGTCTGCATGGTTAGGAGCAAGGAGAGATACTCTTGATAGTAGTCCAAAGTGTAATTCTCCTCTGCTGGGTGTCTTTCACCTATAATAAGGCTGTGGCCATGATTAGTGGGAAGTCTAGTGTGGTGTGTTAATCTCTGATTGGCCATCTGTGGGCCCTCATGCTCATTACATGCCTGCCAAACAGTAGTCTTGCTGTGCTGGTCATAATCCTGGCAGAGAGCATCAAAGGTTGCCTATGGGCCCTATGCTCTTCCTGGGAGAACTGTTGTAGCAACATGTAGTCTATCAACCGGTACACTACAATACATTTATATTTCTGCTTTCTTGCTCACAAAGTAAGTTTCTAGTCCTTCTAAAACCCTCACATAAAAGATTGTTTCACAAGCAAGTACAGGTTTTTTATAAATATATAACTCAGATACAATATATACAAATGAGAAATAAATAGTTTTTGGAAAAAAGATAAACAAAAGTATCCCTTACCTTGCCCTCATAACACACACACAGAGTATAGTCTCCAGGAAAGTTAGTAGATTCTCGGACAAGGAAAAGACCATCCTCAGGTGGAGTCAGTAGGTTTTCTGCTTCATCTCTACTAATTTTACCATGGAACCAGCTGAAAAAATTGTTTATGGTTCAGTTTAAAACTATGATTAGTTATATTAAAAGTGTTCACATTTAGTAGAGAAATGGCATTATAAATTGGTGCTAAATGGGGTATCTTGTTGAACTTTTCACCAAATCTGCTCATTTCTTGTCTGTAAACACCATCATCCTCTCAAAATACTGGTAATATACAAAATCATATCCCTAAAAATCATTCAATTAACTTTGATTAACCTGAACACGTGGCCATAATCATTTATTGATATGGGCCACTAAACCCATCATTTAACAAATTTCATTATTATTGCCTAGTTTTTATATCAGTGATGTAATATGGTTATGATATATCTATACTAATGTAATTGAGTTAACCAAGATCAATGAAAAATTCTGCTATAATTTCATAATTACTTACTTTGTAAAGAGGTTCTCATGTACTTGGAAGCTCATGGTTATCATCAAATTACAATTTGGCCTTTCCTTCCAGTTTTAAATCCATGACTGGATGACATTCCCAGACAGGATTGCAGCAAAGGGGTGGGTTGCAAGACACTTCCTTACCTGCTTGATATCTGCTTGATGGGGTTCTGGGAGTTCTTCTACTCTCCAAGCCCAGCACGAGGCCAGGCATGACTTGTGAGAACTTGGTCCATTAGGCTGTTGCTTGAAGTGGTATGCAGGCCCACATATCCACCACAGCCCTGTTGGTCTGGTACTCTTTGGAGAAAATTGTCTAGATGCTTTTGAAGATGTCCACGGTTGTTCCGGCAATATTTCTTATACTCGCTGGGAGGATGTTGAACAACTGTGGACCTCTGATGTTTATTCATAGTTCTCTAAATGTGCCTATGGCACCCCTGCTCTTCACTGGTTCTATTCTGCATTTTCTTCCATATCGTTCACTCCAGTATGTTGATATTTTACAGTATGTTGTTATTTTACTGATTTGGGACCTGCCCTTCAGTATTTTCCAAGTGTATATTATTTGATATCTCTCTCGTCTCCTTTCTAGTGAGTACATTTGGAGAGCTTTGAGACAATCCCAATAATTTAGGTGCTTTATCGCATCTATGTATGCCATACATGTTCTCTGTATTCTCTCCATTTCAGCAATCTCTCTTGCTTTGAAGGGGGAAGTGAGTACTGAGCAGTACTCAAAATGGGACAGTACAAGTGATTTGTATAGTACATACAACCATTGTGATGGGATCCCTGGATATGAAAGTTCTCGTAATCCATCCTATCATTTTTCTGGCTGATGCAATATTTGTTTGGTTATGCTCCCTAAACGTTAGGTCGTCAGACATTATTCTCAAATCCTTTACATGCTGCTTTACATGCTTTCCTATTATGGGCAGATTTGATTGTGTTTTGTACCCTGTATTATGTTTAAGCATTTCCGTTATTTTCTTTTTCTTTTGTAGTGTCGTCTACATTCCCTTTCTGCGTTGGACCTCTTTCTGGCTTTCCTCAAAGGAACATGTTTCGGACAGACTTCATATGCTTCAGAAGTCAGTTTTTCTATTCGTTGTGTAGGATTTCACAATCCTTTTGTGTGTAGAAAAAGGGCAGGGTTTTCACAACTCATCTCTTAAGAGGGTTAACGAATAATGTACATATAAAATGGGATAATAAAAGTGAATAAGAACAAATGTAAATAAAGCTTCCTTACTTACGCCATGGTATTGAGCTTTACTTCTTTTTTACACTCCATCACGTACGATGTTGGTATCATGCCTTCTACTCCTTCTCTGTTCCTTGCTTTTACCCAGTTTGGATCATTGGTTGGCTTAACAATTGATAATCTCTCCATCTTGGTGAAGGGCAAGTCTTCTGTAGACGTACCAGTAAAAGCATAACGTGCCACCACCTCCGTACCAGGGGCCCAAGTACCCTGAAATGCCAAGATGAATTATATAATTATTACAAGCAACAACTGATGACAAGAAAAAAATGTGTCACCAACAAAAATTCCAGTTTTTTAATAAATTTCTGTATCAATATTTTAACATTATTTTCCTACCATGAACAAGTGATGAGTCAAAACATAATTGCCTATACTTAAATATAGTACACAGCTTATCTTTGACAATAATTTTTAAGTAGTTTATGTCTACAATATATGTGATGCTAAATGTTGTCCTACTTAACTACGTACTAGAAAAGACTGGTACAGGGAGTGTGCTCAGCATTCATAGTTCTTAAACCAGAGCCCAGTTACAAACAATGGATAACAAGGATAGTTGGAAGGGAATTTTATTTTTAAAAATGCTCAAAGTTAGTGCCTTTATTGTGCAAACATCAATCCACTTGACTCTTTCCTGCTTAACATGATGCAAACATGAGACCACATGACCCTTTCATGACCCTTTCCTGCTTAACATAATACAAGCATCACACCACACAACTTCCTGCTAAACACAACATAAACATCAGGTAGAGTAAAAAGCTCAATCGCCCCACTGAGAGATACCACCTTCAAGCAACAATTGGGAATACTGTAAAAGGATAGCCAATTATCGCTCTGCAAACTACAATAGAAAAACTAGATGCCACCCGATCCCACACTCTGAAAGAAGAGTACCAAAGTCAGCGGGGAACAAAAAGTACCAGGTCACTCCCACCCACAGAAAAATGCACACAGGTGCAATGATTAAAAAATGTATTACCAGGCCACCACAAGGCAGGAAACAGGAGAAAAAGAGTCGCAGGTTAAGAACAGCACCATGCACCATCTTGCCCAATCCCCACCAGAACAGAAGCAAGTCAACATGGGCAGACAGAAAGGATTGGGCATAGGTGGAGAAAAAACAGAAACGACCTTGCACGGCATCACAAGCCTCAACATCTTTGATGGTAAAAGAGGCACGCTCTAAATGCAGAGGGGCCGGGTAGCAAGTAGTCACGGGAGCCTGCCAAACCCAGAAAATCCCAAGCATTGCAGAACTAAGCTCAGAGGAACTATTTAGGTGCCAAACCAGAAAAGGGAGATTCATTATGCACAATGCTCTAAATTTGTACACATCACTCGCTAGATATTTTGGTTGTAGTAAGTTAGAAATCTACTACTGTATTTCTGAACAGTTACCTGTAGCATTGTAGGTTTTTTGTATTTTAAATTATACAGACATTAAAAGGAAATGATTATCCAGTAATCACATGTGGCACATCTTGCTTAATGGTTCATTATTGAGCGAGGGTATTGCAGAAAAATTGTGTGGTATGTATGTGTGTGTGGAATTTCTAAAATATACATAGACCAGCCACGTCAATTGTGTTGGAGAGCTGGATATACTGCATTGAGTTTTGTGAATTTAGTTTAATTCTAATTAGATGTGAAGCCCTGTTTAAATTTTATCTAACTACTTTAGGTATTTCTATGGAGACCAATCCCAAATTATGTACAGTATGTCAAGTTTTTCTTGACTAGCCCTAGGATAGAACCAAATATTTATTTGTTCTCTGAGATAGCTATCATTAAAAAAAAAAAATTCTTGGCAACAAATGTGGGAAATTTTACCCACTATATCAATATTATCTAAAAATCATTATTTCTATATCTTTTCTATATCATACATCTAATACATTATATCAGAATCATATCTACTATGTCGTACATCAGATTCATTATATTGTATTATACATTAACTAGATCCTACATGACCGCTTGGTCACGTACTCCATTGGGCCTAATGCCTACGTGACTTTGTGCATGAATTCTCAAAGATCTAGAAGGTTTGAGAAGAACATATTTAATTAAAAAACAGTTGGAACATCAATCAATTTCCAGTGAGGATTAACTCAAATCGTTAATAAGAATCAATTGTACTATCAACAATTTCCGTCAACCCCAAGTTGCTTTAGTTTACACACCAGATCTATGTGCCAAACCTTGTCAAATGCTTGGGCAATGTCCTAACCTATGACACATGTATCCTTTCCACAACCAGGTACTGTTATATTTTATGTAATTTGTAGCAATACGTCTGGTGTCATTATACCCAAAATTAAATGGCTTGTTACTTAATAAATAATTCTAAACAAATTCTTTTTTATTTATTTTCTTTTTACTAAAAAACCAGTGTTGAATGTAATGAAACGCCATTTTTTGGGCGAGTTCCAGAGGCTCCCCGGAGCTATACCAGGCTGATATGTATGTATTAGACTATGGCATCAGTTAATTTGATTGGAGTTCTAACCTACCAGGGACCATGAGCCAGAACCTGGCCCCCCTCAGAAAGGCAAGAGGAGCAATGGCCTGTAGAAACCCACATGAAGTTGAAAGCATTCTATGTCTGCCATCTACCTGGTTAGGCACCCAGAAACGTAGGCATCTCAAAACAAACTTTACCTGGTTAAAATTGCTACCAAAAAACGAATTATCAAGCAGAAATCAACAATCTGACAAACAAGCTAACCGCCGATGCCGCTGTCATTTCCTGCCACTCAAGCGTGCGGGTCTGACAGATCGAATGCCACGCCCCCAACGAAAAGAAAGGACAGTCTGCTAACCAGGATGAGTCCAGTACCTTGTAACGCACCCAATAATGAAAAGTAGAACAGAGCTCAAACGAGGAAGGGTCTATTATTGAGGCAAAATCCAGGTCATGCAGGAGGTACACCGCAATGGCCTCCTTAGGCGGGATACGGGAAGCCGAAAACCTCCAGACGGAAGGAAGGAACCGAAGAACCCAAGGGAACCCGGAACCGAATCCGATGAGGAGCCAAACCCATATCAAATTTGTACAGGAAAGGAGGGTAAGAAAACCTCTCCTGCTGCAACAAGCCCCGTGCAGAGGGTACCAACAATCAGGCGGGGTTAGACAGGGTCCAAGCACCCCAAGTCAGCTCCTCCCCAGCCCCGGGATCCTCCACTCCAGGACCCGGGGCAAAGCTGTCCTCCAAACCCTCTGTCCCTAAAGAAAAGGCAGAGTCAACTGGAAAGGGTGGGAAAAGAGGTGGGGGAGGGGGGGTCTCCACTGGTCAGACCCCAAAGCCTCAGCTGGATGTCTCCATCGCTGAACAGGAAGGGGCAGCCCCCGAGACAGCAGCAGCAGCAGGGGTGGGGGAAGGGAGCAGGACAAACCACAGCAGGGAAAGGACAAGGGGGTGCAGGCAAAACCAGGGCCCTTAGGCTGACTGCTAAGGGAAGCTCAGGCAAGGTACTGCTCACCGGTTGGTCCAAACTACCGAGAGATCAATTAAAGCTGAACCCCTGCGATCTGTACATTCATGGGGACCTAGTGGGGAACCATGAGACTGACAGAGGGTGGACAATAACCAAGAGGGCAGATCCCCCACCCCCACCAGGCAACAAACAAAAAGAAAAAGAAAAACCCTAAAAAAGCACGTCTTCATGAGGAACAGAACCGGCCGCTGTGTAATAGATGACAAGTTGTACCTCCTACCTCCTACCCAAGGTCAAACAGCGAAAATGAAAACCCCAGTTGACCCCAAGGACGGGCAATCACCGAGTAGCAAAAGGTCCCTACGGAGGTAGTTCCCAAACGACTTGTGGCAGGCAATACTCCCAGTATTGCCTGCTACAATTACTCTTGGTGAATTACTCTTGGTTCGCACACCACCACACAGCAGAACAACACCGCAAAGGTACAGCACCGCTCAGAGAAAGGAGCCAGAGTCGAACGCCTGCTACGCAACACATTTGCCTCCGAACTGGGATTGGATGGCCAGTGTGAGGGGGGATCTGGGGGCTGCCCCTTTTTCCTCCCGGGGAGGTGGGGATCTGCGCAGAGATATGGTGGCGGTTATGACGTCATGCTTGTTTGCATGTTTTTCAGATTGTGGAGTTATGCGTAATAGTTCAGTTTTTGGTAGCAATTTTAACTAGGTGGAGTTTGTTTTGAGATGCCTACCTTTCTGGGTGCCTAACCCAGTAGATGGCAGACACAGAATGCTTCCAACCCCATGGGGGTTTCTATAGGCCATTGCTCCTTGTGCCTCTCTGAGGGGGGGGGGGAGCCAGGTTCTGACTCGTGGTCCCCGGTAGGCTAGAACTTCAATCGAATTGACTGATGTCATGGTCTAATAAATACATATCAGCCCGATATAGCTCCGGGGAGTCGGAAGGGCTCTCCACAGAAATGGTGTAATGAATGGTAATTGTACCAATGTTATTAATAGGTCATAATAGCATTATAGGCATAGGAATGTCTAATGTTAGGCAAAGATGTCACAAGTGTTTATCGTGCAAGGGGTGCAAGCATGAACTAATATGAGAAGATGCATAGTGCTTGAAACATTTGTAATAGTAGTAGCAGCAGTAGTACTCTGCACAAGTATACTTATTTCAGTCATAAATGGCTTAATGAATTCAGACCTTAAAAGAATGTCGTAATAACACACTTACATTTTAAGATTAAGCACAAAGTTTAAGATTTCAGAAACAAAGGGCCACCACATCCTTGCACACTTGTGTGGCATCCACTGATAAATAATTGCAGGATGTACTTTATCATTATGCCACTTTTACTGGACAAGGGATAAAAACAAATGTAGTGCAACCATTTTCCTTACAGGTCCTTCAAACAAAATTATAATAATTGTCAACAGAAAATTTTCAGTTTTAAATGTGTCTACAGAAATAAGAATGAGATGTGATAAATGTGCTGCACATCATCAGCTGTATGACATATGTCATTGGCAAACTTGAATGAGATATTCTCTCAGACTACCAAACACAAGTGGATGTGTTAGTGATGGTTACATAACTGCCTCATTACAGTAATGACTATAAAAACACACACTAATGCAACAAATTATTATTCTTGTTTTTTGACTCTCATCAATGAAAATTTTGTGCAGAATCATCACTGCCATATTCAATACATGTATGATGACCAAACCAGACACCAGAAGATGAAGAAACAATGACGTTTTGGTCCGTCCTGGACCACTATCAAGACATACGACTTGATAATAGTCCACGACGGACCGGAACATTATCATTTCTTCATCTTCTGGTGTGTGATTTGCTCATCATATCTTCAGCCACGTTATTGTGGCTCATCGTCTTCAATATATGTACTTGCCTTACATAATACAAAAAATTAGCAAGTTTTCAGAACGTTTCATTATGCAAATATTTGTTTTCGTAAATAATTTAATAGTTATACTTTTATGACAAGGACAAAAAAAAACTAGTGTTGAATATACAGTAATGAAACGACAATTTCTGGGTGAGCTCTGGAGGCTCCCTGAAGCTATCACACTGATTCAAGCTACTAGGTGCCATCAGTCACAGAGTTCTATTGACATACCGGAGACCACGAGCCAGAGCAGTGAAACTCCCAGACCATTCCCAGTGCCTCTTTGAGGCACTGGGAATGGTTGCCTATGAACACTTTATATTTACAGTTAATCATAATTGCCACCATCAGGGAATGCACCCCAGAAAGATAGGTGAAACCAAACAGACTACTGTATGGTTGGAACGAGACTGCAGCCTCAAACATGTCTACAAGAACTCCCCCCAACAAAGAACCCAAAAACAAACAATTTGTAAAACTAGTGCTAACTAGTTTGCCCCACCTCTTCACCCCCTCATTTAGGGGGGAGGAGGGAGGCAGGCTGGGTCAGCTGGCTCACTCCACCCTCACTTCTATGATGATGGAACACCCCAACACCTAGGGACGGGAGAGTGTTAGGGAGCCTCCAGGAGCCTCCAGATATAAATTTATCTGACACACATCTTTCAAATTTTCTGAATGCATTTTTCATTTCAAATAAAAAAAGATATAAAAAAAATTCTTTAATTTACAAAATATTTATTACAAATTTAAATTTTTAAGTATTTTTTTTTGCAAATCTTAAATTAATCCTTGCCTCAAGCCATTCATTAATTCAGCCTATATTATTATTATTATTAAATAAGACATACCATAACCCAATGGGGAAAAATTGCAGAACAAGTTGTTAATACTGCATGTGCACTGTACTGTACATAATAGTGCAAGAATATCTGAAAACACCTGAATTCATCTGAAACAAACAAAATTCTCATATGCAACAAGTATTCCTAGGCTAATGCTGCAAATTTTCATAGCATGTGTCAAATAAATGTTAATACTGCATATACAAAGGCATTATTTTATATTAGTAACCAACTGGAATACAAAACAAGCAGCAGGCACTAGTCAAAATGTTCATAAGTTGAGCAACTTCACTGTAAAGTCAAAAGCATAAAAATTGCCATATTTAAACAACATGCAACAATATGTTCCTTGTGTGAGTTAAATTGTTGAACTGCGTGCAGTCATACAAGGACCATCATCATCATCTCCTCCTCTTTCTGTAAATCATTTAACATAAACAGAAAAGACATCTATGTTCAAAGTTACACATGGTTTCAAAACATGCACAGTAAGGATGAAAGACTGGTAGAGTAAAAAGAGTCACTCACGTATGGCCCCCGTTGATCACTTGCCTCTGACGCCCCAAGAGCCTGCTCAACATAACTGAAGGTGAAGCAAAACATTTATGAAAAACCACTCTTTTTTTTTTTCACGCAAACACACACACACACACACACACACACACATCTAGTGCTTAAAACCTTTAAAGAGATACACTCAAGCAAAACTCAATTAACAAAGGAGTGAATGTAAAGCTCAAAGAAGAAACTAAAATACAGTACAGTAATTGCAACATCAAAATTTAGTCAAGTCCAAGAGCTTTATATTTATGTACGATAAGAGAGACACAGAATAATACATCTCCTCATATTAGTGTGAAACCACTAACACAATACAGCAGTACACATATTAATGCAGCTATATGATAATATGTAACCTATATACTTTTATAGTCCCTTGCCATACGGTTGCATACATCTTGACAACCCTCCCATACTGAATAGGTGAATACACTCTGTGTACACTATCAAGACAAGCCCAGTATCAAACAATTAAACATGATCACACACTTACAGTAGAAAACAGACACATTAACATACATTTAAATACAATACCACAGTATTTTGTACATCATACAACTGACTGCAGTCTAGCAGATCATAGTTTCCTGACATTTTGATCTTGAGTGTATCTCTTGAATATATCCCATCTATCAGGTTGTTTCTAACGGGGAGTAAGTTTGGTCAATTCTCTGTGTCACAAAAGGGGAGGGGGGGAGGTCATCATAAGTCATTAGACAAGGGTTAAGATACAACTGAGGATGCAAACATTAGTCACAGTTAAAACACACTATGTTATGGCAATATTTTTCAAGATATATCAGCCAATATACTTATACTGTAAGTGCTAATATTGACCAGAAAACTCATTTAATGTTTAACTTTTGTAATCAAATTACAGTAATACCAAAATAGACAATACAAAACTTCTAAGAAGAAGCATGCTAAGAGTACACTGCTGTACTTGTGTAATAAATTCTGCCAATGTTGTAATATTTATATAATTACTGCTAGCAATACACAATATTTTAGTCGATTTGATTAACGGCACTAGATAGTTTAAACTAATATAGGGAGAATGATTTGATTAAATTGAAGGGTACCTTACCTTGTGATTACCGTGTGATGATTTCGGGGTGCAACGTCCCCACGGCACAGTCCCTGACCAGGCCAACTGGTTGCTCAACAACTGGTCAACCAGGCTGTTGGACGCGGTTACTTGCAGCCTGGCGTATGAATCACAGGCTGGTTGATCAGGTATCCTTTGGAGGTGTTTATCAAGCTCTCTCTTGAACACTGCGAGGGGTTGGCCAGTTATGCCCCTTATGTGTATTGGAAATGTGTTGAGCAGTCTCGGGCCTCTGATGTTGAAAGAATTTTTCTCTCAAGAGTACCTATTGCCCATCCTGCCATGCCTTCTGATCTCAGTAGAATAACAACAGTATGTTGTTATTCTATCTCCTCTGTATCCAGGTATCCAAGCAGAGTTGCAGTATGGTATGAGCCACCCCTCACAGCATTCAGATCCTCGCCTGAATCTAAGAATGGTATGATGCCACCAGTAGAGTCCCACAGGATTCTGTATTAGGACCTATCCTAATTCTGATATACATGTACAGTACATGAATGATCTTCCAGAAGGTATAGACTCATTCCTCTCAATGTTTGCAGACGATGCCAAAACTATGAGAAGGATTAAGACAGAGGAGGACAGCAGAAGGCTACAAGATGACTTGGACAATCTGAAAGAATGGTTCAAGAAGTGGCTATTAGAGTCTAACCCGAGCAAATGTAAAGCACGTACTATAATAAAGACAGGAATAGGGAGCAGGAGGCCAGATACAAGGCACCATTTAGGAGATGAAATCCTTTCAGAATCAGGGAGTAAAAAAGACCTGGGAGTTGATATCATGCCAGACTTGTCCCCTGAAGCCCACATCAAGAGAATATCATTGGCAGCATATGCCAGGTTGGCTAACATAAGAACTGCCTTTAGAAACTTGTGTAAGGAATCATTCAGAACCTTGTATACCACATATGTCAAACTAATCCTGAAATATGCAGCTCCAGCATGGAGTCCATATCTAGTTGCTGATATACAGAGTTTACAAAAAAATTTGACAACTGTGACCATGGTGTTATTGCATACAAAATGCACACATAAGGAATTACAGTACTGGCAAAGTACGGAGATGTATCTTCAACTTCTTAACAAACATAAAGCAGAGTGTAATAGTCAACAAAATAAAATCCGGATCATCTAGGGGTAAAAACCTCAGTCCCCCAAGGTACCATCAAAGTACAGTACCGGATTTCCCCCCTCCGGTACTTTTTCTCATCTTCATATCAGACATAGACAAAAATACAAACTATAATACTCATTCATCATTTGCAGATGACAGTAGAATTTTGTAGAGGACATGGCAAATCTCTGATCTGATGTAAATTGGGTTCTTCAATAGGCCACAGATAATATGATGTTTAATGAAAATAAGTTCCAGCTCCTGTGTTATGGAAAAAACTAAAATGTAAGAACGGAAACCATAAATACAACGGAATCAAATCACACTATAGAATGAATATGCAATATAAAGGATCTAGGAGTAATCATGTCAGAAGACCTTACCTTTAAATAACACAATAAAGTAGCTGTTAAGACCAAGAAAAATGACAGGTTAGATAACAAGTACCTTCCAAACAAGAGACGCCATACCAATGATGATACAGTATAAGAAATATTGCCGGAGCAAACGTGGACATCTTCAAGAAGTGCCAGACCAATGGGGCTGCGGTGGATATGTGAACCTGCAGGTCGCTTTAAGCAACAGCCTGTTGGACCAAGCTCTCACAAGTCAAGCCTAGCCTCGAGCCAGGCTTGGGAAGTAGAAGAACCTCCAGAACCTCATCCAGGTACAATCCAGGAGGCCTAGTCAGAGACCGGGCCATGGGGCCGTTGATCCCCAGAACCTCTACAAGGTAGCCACAAGGTAGGTAGCCACCCAGTATGTACTGTAAGGTGATTTATCATTTCCCATAAATATGAGATAGATATAGTACTGTACTTGTGTATGAAAATTCATGCTGTAATACAGGCATTTGTCTAGTTATAACTTGGCAATACAGTAATGACGATGAGGGAAAGTGATCAGTCATAATAAGTAGGGAAAGAATCTATCAGTGACAACAAAAGAAGTAATCAAGTAAAACTGGATGATATTAGGTTGTACAACAAAGAAGAGAGATGCCTGAGACTGACCTTGATCTTCTCTGTGGTACTAACTACTCTTCTCATGAGAACAATAACACTTAAGTGTCAGAGCTGCAGCACAGGCCCCGACAACTCATCATGGTCATTTGTCCCAATCACTTGCCTTACTTATTAGCAGATGCGTGTGTGATACTCTCACAATTCAAGTGGCTACACACCTGATGATACAGGCCCTGATCATACCTGCTGACACTCACCCCTGGTCATGCCTACTGACACTCACCCCTCATCATGCCTGCTGTCACTCACCCTCATCATGCCTGCTGACTCACCCTGATCGTGGTGTGGCTCATGGTGTGGTTGTGAATGCCTATAATGACGACTCTTCAGCCTCCTCCATCACACAACCTGTAACAAACAATACCAATAATAGCAATGTTATCTCCACAGACAAAAATCACAAGATACAATTGACAATTTACTACAAAAACAAGAAAACGGCCAACCTACTCATGAAAAAGTCTCCAGACTCTAAACAGAACGCCTTGAAAGAAAACATGTCTTTGCCTTCACATGCCCACTTGGGGACTGTCAGCCCCAAAGATCTCCAGGCAAGACAACAACGTCTCTAGACGCTTAACAATGCACAAACAACAGGGCTCCATCAAGGAGCATATAATCACCTCACAAAACCAGACCATCACCAGAAATATCTTGACAAGCAACAAAGAAATTATCGACAGATACGACAACTGGAGACTCGACATCGGCGAGGCCCTACACATCAAAATGTCGACACCAGCAATCAACTGCCAATTAACACATAATTACATACTACCCACCTCAAGACCCCGAACCAACACAGAAGCAAGAAGATAAAACACGGGTGTTATATTGTTACATTGCGTTACATATCGCGTTTTATTTTTTCTCCTTCCTCTTTACTCAAAAAAAGGCAATGTACCCATTGATTTGTGTCCTGTCACCTCACTCAAAAACATTTGTGTCCTGTCACCTCACCCAAAAACATTTGTGTCCTGTCACCTCACTCAAAAACATTTGTGTCCTGTCACGTCACTCAAAAACATTTGTGTCCTGTCACCTCACTCAAAAACATTTGTGTCCTGTCACCTCACTCAAAAACATTTGTGTCCTGTCACCTCACTCAAAAACATTTGTGTCCTGTCACCTCACTCAAAAACATTTGTGTCCTGTCACCTCACTCAAAAACATTTGTGTCCTGTCACCTCACTCAAAAACATTTGTGATCTGTCAGTTCACCCAAAAACGAATATAAGCATGAAACAGTATGTAAAATTGTCTTTGAAAATGTAAGAAGTGTCTTGCGAAACGCTTCTAGGCGTCAGACCATAAATAAAGTGTGAAAATGAACTATGGAGAGTTAATTAAGAACATAAGAACAAAGATAGCTGCTTAAGGCCCAAGAGTTGGAGCAAATAGATAAGTACACCACACGTCTTGGTGAGTGCACTTATTAGTTACATATATATATTGTTATTACATGTAGCTCCCCAAGGAAATGGTGGCGTGTTTCACGTTATCAGAAGCCCTCGAGCTGAAGGAGTGAGAAAGCGAGGTCGTGGGAGGTGCGACCGCTCGGGGCAAGGAGGAAGAGGGAAGATTGTGGGGAGATGTAGCCTTAGGCCCTCACTTCTCTCACCTCTCTAGATAATGTCTACAAATCTATGTAGACCCATCGATACATGGGCTGTACCGCAGGGCGGACGGAGGGTGTCAGGGTGCCTCGTTCGAAGGTGCAAGTGTACTCGCCTAGTTGTGCTTGCGGGGGTTGAGCTCTGGCTCGTTGGTCCTGCCTCTCAACTGCCAATCAACTGGTGTACAGATAGGCCCCTCAGTGTGAAGGCACCAGGCTGTGTTTACCTATCAGTGACGCCGGGGCAGGTAGATCTAGCTCTTTCTGCCTCTCCTCCTACCTGTTTATATCTGCCGCGATATTTACCTCTCTCAAGGGTGCCCCAGAGGCTCATACCACCATGTGAGGTGACAATGTGAAAGATGTCAAGATGAAAGGTGTTAAGAGTGTGAAGGGTAGGCTGTGGTTCATAGGTCAGGCTGTGACCAGCCTCAGTTTTCCTTTTTTCGTGGGGGGGGGAGTAAAGAAGGAGGAGAGGCATAGGTGAAGGGAAGTTTAGAAGTGGGAAATACAGTGAGAGGTATGAAAGCAGGCGGGCTGTCAGCCTTGCTGACACGATGTGTGGGCTGTTTTCCTAAGGCTGCTTTGGCTTTGTTTAATCGGTCCCTTACGTGAATTTTTATCCCTATTCTATTGATCATGAGTTCCAGTATTCTGCCTACCTCCGCATATTGGAATGGGCTGTGGTCAAGGATAATGGGGTCTGGGTTTCTTTTTAGCAGTGTGTATTATCTGGAACTTTTGTTTATTTGTGCTAATTTTCCATGGCTTCTCAAAGTTGTTTATGAATTCAATTGCTAATGTTTTTGTTACACTGGGCAGAGGCAGGAGGGAGGGAGGCAGTGGGGCAGGAGGGAGGGAGGGAGGGGAGAGAGTGGCAGTGGGGCAGGGGAGGGGACAGGAGGTAGGGAGGGAGGGTGGCAGGTTGGGATTCCTAACATACCACAGACCCTCGCGCCCCGGGTCATCACCAGATTTACAAGTGGTACAAGGTAAACACGTCCGCCTTCCTCCTGAAGCTCTTCTAATGTTGTGATAACAGGGTGTTCCAGTAGGGGGCGGCGCACAGTCCTACAGACGAGATGTGTGTGTGTGTGTGGGGGGGGTGAAGGTAAGAGGGCTTGCTCACATCCCACCGGACTGTCAGATCCCACGTCGCCGCTGCCGCCGCCGCGTCAGGAGGGTCGGGGGCAGGAGGACCGAGCCTTTCCACAACCATGTTGACTAGTAACGGTATTGATAATGTTGCATAGTAGTGCTCCGGTATGTCGTCAATGACCACCCCACCATCACCACCAGTACTTCAGCAGCACAAGCCTCATGGGGTGTGCTCTTGCTGCTCTTGCTCCTGCTGCTGCTGCTGCTGCAGTTGCTGCTAGCCACCGTAGATGAGCAGAGGCAATGCATACATGTAACAAGTTTATAGTTTGCATGTAGTATCTGGATTCCCAGAGACCCTCTACTCCACCCAAGCTCGATCTGGGGCCAGCAGGATTATCTCGTGATAACTTGATCTAAAGTTATCTTGTGATCTAAAAGGCTGTTGTTTGAAGGGACCGCAGGTTCCTTTATATATTACATCTCAGTTGGTTGGTTCGGCATTTCCCGCAGGAACTCTTCACTGGGTCAATTTTTCATTTCCTACCATATATTTCGCTCGAGTAAGTTGTGCATATTTAGGACCTCTCTTTCCAGTGTCTTCCCTGTATATATGTTGTGTTCTCTCTTTCTCGTCTCCTTTCTACAGGGGTACATTATGAGTGCTTTGAGACGGTCCCAATACTTTAGGTGCCTCATCCTGTACTCACCTAGTTGTACTTGCGGGGGTTGAGCTATGGCTCTTTGGTCCAGCCTCGCAACTGTCAATCAATTGGATTGTGTGTGCCATAACTGCTATCTGACGAGAGAGAGAGAGAGAGAGAGAGAGAGAGAGAGAGAGAGAGAGAGAGAGAGAGAGAGAGAGAGAGAGAGAGAGAGAGAGAGAGAGAGAGAGAATAAAGAGGAGAGGAATAGTTAACCCAACAAGAGAGCAACAAATTGCAATTATATAACTATCAGCTATCACTGTCATGCTGATTTAATTTTTTAACAGAAAACTCGACTGTCATCCATAGAAAACGTGTTAAAACGTTGCACAGTTGGAGGAGTGACTGTTGACATCATTTTGTATAATTTTGTATTCAGACGAACCTTCACAAGGCACGAGCTTAACCCGTTTCTTACCATCTCCATTCTCCTCCTCCTCCTCCTCTTATCCTTATGCAGTCATACCTTTATATCCGGGTATACTCTTCCTACCTTAGCCTGTACACTGATTCACCTTGAAGATTGTGTACCCAGCTGTTTGTTCATATGCCGTGCTGTGTGTGTGTGTGTGTGTGTGTGTGTGTGTGTGTGTGTGTGTGTGTGTGTGTGTGTGTGTGTGTGTGTGTGTGTGTGTGTGTGTGTGTGTACTCACCTAGTTGTACTCACCTAGTTGTGTTTGCGGGGGTTGAGCTCTGGCTCTTTGGTCCCGCCTCTCAACCGTCAATCAACAGGTGTACAGATTCCTGAGCCTATCGGGCTCTGTCATATCTACACTTGAAACTGTGTATGGAGTCAGCCTCCACCACATCACTTCCTAATGCATTCCATTTGTCAACCACTCTGACACTAAAAAAGTTCTTTCTAATATCTCTGTGGCTCATTTGGGCACTCAGTTTCCACCTGTGTCCCCTTGTGCGTGTTCCCCTTGTGTTAAATAGACTGTCTTTATCTACCCTATCAATCCCCTTCAGAATCTTGAATGTGGTGATCATGTCCCCCCTAACTCTTCTGTCTTCCAGCGAAGTGAGGTTTAATTCCCGTAGTCTCTCCTCGTAGCTCATACCTCTCAGCTCGGGTACTAGTCTGGTGGCAAACCTTTGAACCTTTTCCAGTTTAGTCTTATCCTTGACTAGATATGGACTCCATGCTGGGGCTGCATACTCCAGGATTGGCCTGACATATGTGGTATACAAAGTTCTGAATGATTCTTTACACAAGTTTCTGAATGCCGTTCGTATGTGTGAATGTGTGTGTGTGTGTGTGTGTGTGTGTGTGTGTGTGTGTGTGTGTGTGTGTGTGTGTATGTGTGTGTGTGTACTACCTATTTGTGTCAGTAGGATCGAGCGGTAGCTCTTGGACCTCGCTTTTCCATCCGCCGGTTGTCTAATGCAATGACTCCTGAACTGGTTTCCTTATCATATCTACTTTTAAAATACTGAATGTAGTTTGCTTCTACACTTACCTTCTCCTTTAGTTCCACTATTTTTGGTTCTATTTTCCACTACTCTTGCACTAAAAGAAAATTTTCTATCTCTATGACTCACATGACTCAAGCTTTCATCTATGTCTCTTGTTCAATGTGAACATTTCCTCTCTTTCCACTTTCCTCCTAAGTATTTTATACGTCTCTCTCTCTCTCTCTCTCTCTCTCTCTCTCTCTCTCTCTCTCTCTCGTCACTTCTTTAACTATGAAAAAAGCGAGGCAAATAATACAAGACAAGGCAAGAAAGATATCCTTGACGCATTAAACATATGCAGATGAATACACAACACCTCCCTTGTCCCCCTTACCCATAAAATATGCAGTACATGGAGCAGTTTTCCTGGTAGCGACTCCTGGTATTAGTGTGCCCGTGACTTTTTTCTCACTAGGCCTCCTGGTTGCTCATATAAATGGTAGAGTTATGGTCTTGTGGTGTCGGTGGCC